ACAGCAGTAAAAACGGTGGGTAACTATATCATTAACATTAGTGATCTTAAAAAAGGTGAGTAAAAGCTGTTTTGTAAATTTAAAAGGTGCGTAAATGGCGTTTATGTGCATTTACTTTTTTCTTTTATGGCGGTCGGCATCGGTTTATGTGCATTACTGCCACCGCGGCTTTGGTTAGCTTACTGCTCCCAAATTAGGAGGTTGCCACTGTACTTATGTGTATAATAACGTAGACCCAACTAATCGATTATTAAATTAGTTGGCAACTATTTTAATAATCGATTTTAATCGATTAAATCGATTTTAATCGATTAAATCGATTAGTTGTTGCAGCCCTAATCTGGATGCAAGAAGACATTAAAATGGACAGGACCAGAATATAAACTTTTCCTCAACAAGAAGTACTCTAATTTGACCACTGTGGATCATCTTATTGAATTTCATTACAGAAGTGCGGTTGTGTGATGACTAGACAATTTCAGAACAGATTTCTAAAATAAAAAAAATGGGTGATGGCTCTCTGGCGGTTTAAGTTCTGTGGATGAGGCTTCTGAGTGCTTCCCCCCATGTAAAACTAAATTTGGATGAATGTCATTCTGATTGCTTTCAGGTTTTACACTCAAACTTATCACAGCAGGTAATAAAATATCACATAATAATAATGAGTATGCCAGTCTGATATTTATTATTATTATCAATTCATTTCAGAAAGCTATTATTCTGGACGATGCACACTTACATACCTTGGGTACTTGAGGTAATATAGAAGAATATTCACATGCTCACTGCAGAGTTGTTGCTCTGTTCTCAAGTATCAGATATTCGTACAATTATGCTCCAGGTTTCTGTCGCCTATGGCTTACTCACTGGGGGCTTTGGGTGGGGATGCTGTAAAGCGCTTTGGGACAATGTAATGTTGTGAGAATGCGCTATACAAAAATAAATTTGTTGTTGTTGTTGTTGTTGTTGTTGTTTACACCTTCAGGTTTTGATTTTTTTCTTTATTGGTTTAGTTTCCTCAAGCTTTTAGCGGAGACAAGATTGTTTTTGGGGCATCATCCCTTAATGGAATTCCATGAGAGGATGCATCATAAAGTTCTGGTAGCTTAGGGAGCCCCAGACGGCGCATGCAGACTCTGTCCCCGATAGGTAGCTGGCCACCGTCACTGTTGCCTTCGGTACTTCAGTAAATACATGCAGTTTGTGTTCTACCTGTGTCATGCAGCTTTCCTAGAGGTATTTGTTTCCGCAAGACATTTAGTTAGGTTAATTAAATCACCCATTGTGTCTGTGTGTCAGCCTATCCGTGTGTCTGTATGTGTTTGGCCCATAGAAATGAATGGATGGTCCCCTCAAAGCTATGAATATTAACATTCACATCTTGGCTCCAGGTGCCCGGAATCCTGTACTGAAAGTAGATGAACAGATTTGATGTGAATTACAATGCAAGTTGCACACAATTTGTTGGACAAAACTGTAGCCCCAGAAGAGATTTATAATTTGTCCTAATCTAACAAATGTGGTTCTTTAGTGCTTGCCAACAAGAAAGTGATTTACCATGAAGTTTTCTATTACTGCCTGGGTTCAAGTAGGAATTGATTTTATACACTCTATTTATTTAAGAGTAGTTTCATCATGTAATGACAAGCCATTGGCCTCAGGACTCTCTGTAAGCGTTGACATTTGACATGTGCAGAAATAGACTATAGTGTCTCACTTTGAAGACTTGGCACACGTGTCATGCAGGGTTCCTCTCTGCTTGTCCATGTGCCACCTCTGCTGAAGGAGGCATGGGTGGCTGCTGGAATTCGTTTGTATTTTGCTCCAAGCAGGGATCAGGCTGTAGAATTCTAAATAATTTATCTTTTTATTTTGATATAGGACTGTGGCCAGTAGGCAAGGCTAGTAGAACACTTCTCAGACTTGTCATGGCAAAAAAGGAAGTAAACGGAATGAGGCCATTTTGTAAGTGGAACTCATCGGTGCTCTTTTGATCTCAGCCTCCAAGCTATTAGAATGTTTTGTTTGGTTTCAAGCATCTACTGAGATGAGTCTGCTGACAAACCCAGAGAGGGGCCATAAAAGCCTCCATCCGCAGGTCAGACCCAGCAACCCATAGTTCCACAGGCCTCCTGTGACTACCTCTTTGCCACCTGAAGACCTTCAGTCTTCCTATCAGCTGGGTAAATTGAAGCTCCATGATTTGCGAGTCAGTGTTTATGTGCACCCTGTTGTGTGTCCTGCAGGTTCTTCTGAAACTTAAAGCCAGGTTATGACTTGGGATGGCATTTGAAGTAGAAATACAAGTTGAATTTCATTAGTCATTATTCAAATAATATTCAGTTAAAGCCACCTTCACCACAAACATGTAGAAATATGTATGGAATATGGATCAAAATATTTATTTCTTTCCATATAAAGTGAGATATTGCTTGTTGTAACCCGTTAAAATGTAACTTGAATAAATTAAATTGAAACCAGTTAAACTGATGAGAGAGCACTGAAGTGCAGTAGCATACAATAATGTTGAATAGCCTGTGCCTTGGGCAGTCACGGGGAATGAGGATTTTTTTTTCCAATCAAGGAAATCATATATTTACACCCTTGTATCTTTCATTAAGCACATTCTTGGGGTGATTTTTGCACTAAACGTGGACATGCAATCTACCTTTTTATCTGGTAACACTTTTGCCTTTGTTTTTCTTTAGCGGATGCTTTTATCCGAAGCAGAATTGGCTGGTGATTGGGGGTTAAGGCCTCACTCAGGGGCCACATGGTGACATGACTCTGCCAACCTTGCCGTCACAGGGATGGCATCCTGAGCTACTGAGACACACACCACACACATTCTCTCATAATCCACTGGAAATATCTTACTGCTACGGTGGCTTTTGTTGAATCTGAATGTGAGATAATTGCTGCCAAAACTGCAGTACTTTTGAAAGTCAGGCTTGTTTGTTTTATGTTTATTGCTCTTGACTGTGTGCTACAGCTGGTTGTCTTTGTCTTATATTCTTTGTAATGGAAAGTGACAGCAAGACTACAGTACTTGGATTTTCCCTTTTTTTTTTTTTTGGGTTAAATCTGGAATTTGGACATCAGCACCTGTAAATATGTAATTTGCTTCATTTGCTACTGTCTTAATTTGGGATTTCAGAATGTAGAATTGTGTATTTCTATTCAGTGAAAGACAAAAGTGCCTTTTTATGTTACATATAGAAAAAATAACACTCCACTATTCCATACAATGGCATTAGCTGTTTCAAATACATTTGAGGTTTCATTATTTGCGAATATTCTGACAGGTACGTTTGACAATAACCTGACCAGTGATAGGTTATATTTCGGTGGTGCAGGTCTGTGGTTGGTCCTCCCCGTGCAAGCCTGTAAATCACCCTTCATGACTGTGATCCTAACTGTAGGGCACACTGCATGATTCAGTTTCCTGCTCAGCGCTCTTACCTCCCTGGCAGAACATCATACATCCAAGCAAGCCACATGTTATTGTGACACTTCATATTCCAATCAGCTCATATATCTGCTTGCTGACATTTATTATTTCTGTATTTATTTAACGGAGGCCCTAACCATGTGACTGACCTCTTGTTGTCAGAAGATATTAGTAGTTTTGTGTATTGAAGACTACAGATTGTGTGTGTGTGTGGTGGGGGGGTTGTGTGTATATATTACCTTGTGGGGACCAAATCAAAACCTACTCTCTTGACATTTTTCAGTCCCCTCAAGGGGAAACTCAGTTTTATAGAAATCTGTAATGGCAAATAAAAATGCCAGAAGACTCATATTTTGTTTGGTCACTTACGGTTAAGGTTAGGGCTGGATAAGGTCGTCATTGTTGGGATTAGACATGCCCATAGGAACGGGTGGACAGTCCCCACAAACATATGAATACAAAGGCATGTGTGTGTGAGAGAGAGAGAGAGAGAGAGAGAGAGAGAGAGGGGCTGGCTGTTAAAGATGATGACACAGTGAGTGATGTTCTGTTAATAGATATTCTTGGTGTGATTGACAGAGCCTAGATCTTTCACTTGTGCATGCTTATAAGGAGTCTATAGAAAAAACTGTGTACCAATTTGTGTTGAGTATTTCATTTTTAAGCCTAAAATCGATCTAGGGTTAACAATAAAAATATTTGTGCTTTTAAAATTACAGAAGTATAAAAATCTGATGGTTACGAAGGATTTCCACTGTTTGCAAAGCCCTGTTTGGCTAATTTGAGGAGTGGGGGCTTGGTCTGGATTGAGCCCCCAGGGGAGCTTATAAAAGCTGTGACTGCTTTACTGTCAAACAGATTGGAGGTCTGAAGGTCTGAGGTCTGAAGGTCTGAGGTCTGAAGCCAGGCACTCTAAGGACATGCTACACATCTTAAGACTCCGACACTTCCACTTTACGTAAAAGCGAAACGTGATGATGTGCCAATTGGTTCTGTTCATTGTTTATTTGGGGAAAAAGGTATAATCTGGCAGGTTTTAAGATAACCTGCTACCAGACCTATAGAGGTATTTTTGCAAATAGTTGGTAATTACAAGGAATATATTCAGCAAAGGTGGCAAATGCAGTCTTCAGATTCAAAGTTCAAAAGTGTAATTTATATACAAAAAAAGTGCACATTGTAGCTACCCACTGAAAACCGCGTATGTCCACTCTTTGATGATTGGCTTATAGATGGAATACGGCAATTCTCCTCTGTCCACTAATAGCATTTGACATTTAATTGACCAATGAAAAGATGTTTTATGAAATCATCTGTTTTACTAATTGAAAAATACACTCTTCACAGCAACATTTTTTCATCATTTGGATGAGTTTTGCAAGGTTACATGCAACCACATAGCATGTGGCACTTGTATGGAAGTTTTTCTTGGACTTTTTTCATTTGTAACCCACAGAACACCATCAACAAATATGTACCATGATCCACAAATATTTAACTATCCACACATATGTATTTTTTTATTTGTGTAAAATCATATCCACAAAAATTGAGTGATTTTTACACGTGAAACGTGTTTTGCGCACTTGATCACGTCCTGTCTTTTAGTGTATCACGTTACATTTGTGACTTTCCTACTCTTGATTTGTGGATTTTTGTCCAGTTAATCCTCCTACAGAACCATTAGGCCTGGGTGGGAAAATTTTTTTGAAGTAGTTTTCTGTTCACTCGCAATAGTTTTTTTCGATCCCAATTGTTATATGCTGCAACGTGATGGCATGTATAAACCTAAGTATTGCAGACATGTCCTGCAAACTGAGCTTTAAGCATTAAGCTATGGGGGACAATATACACCATGTAACTTTTGTATTTATTAATAATTGCCCTGTGTCCATTCTTCGCCATTGACTTTAAGAAAGATAGCTGAGCTATTGATCGTGAAGTGCACCCACAAACTTTGAAATATATTACAAAAACTGAAAGATATTACAACCGGAAAACTGAATAGAAAGCTAACTTTACCGGGGATTTAGAGTTAAGGTTTAAACTCGAACCCGCTTTTTGGAATATTTCGGTATAGATCTGCATATCCCCACATACATCATCAAGCAAGAATACCAGACAGGTTATCCCCGACAGCGGCTTCAGGTTTAAACCCTAACTATGACACCAGACTAAAGTTCGCTTTATATTCAGTTTTCCAGCTGTAAGATCTTTCAAGAAAAGGAAGCAACACTTCATGGTTTTCCAGGTTTCTTTATGGGCGAATTTTAATTAATATTTCAATGTTTGCTTGTGCACTTCACCTTCAATAACCCAGTTGTTTTGTTCACAGTCACTGGCGGTGAATAGACGCAGTGCAATTAAAATATGTTTAAAAACACATGTATGAAAATTACAGTGTGCATTTTCCCCCACAGTTTAATGCTTAAAGCACACTTAATTGGACATATCTGTATTATTTAGGTTTATACCTATTAGTCCATTCATTCTATCTTTTGTACTTTAAATGAACACAGTATAGTTATTATTAGTAACGGAAAAGTATTGCAAGAGAACACAAAACTATTGAGAGAACTCAAAACTACAGTATTTCAAAAAATATTTTCCCACTCAGACCTCAGACCACGATCTGTTTAAAAAAAAAAAAAATCCCAAATACATCACCATCCACAAATATGTATTTTAAATAGTGTTCTATAAAATCATATTCACAAAAATATACTTTGTACACATGAATAGGGTTTTGCACATTTGTGGGTCACTTCGCGTCTATTTATGGATCACGTTACATTTGTGACTTCACTCCTTTTTATTTGCAGATTTTTGTCCAATTCCTAATGCAGCTGATCTGTGGAAAAAATCCATAAATACGAGGTGCAGGCGTGATATATATCGTTATTGGGATGAGACGACTTATATCGGGATATGAGATTTTGGTCATATCGCACAGCCCTACTCCTGATATAATGGGTAGATATCATTTGGAGATGTGTGTTTTTCATTGGGCAACAACGATGTGTAGCAAGAATCCCCTTAGTAGCGCTCCCTCGTTCACTGCTGTTTCAATATAGCGTGCTTTTGCTAATGCTTGGTAAAATGTGGATTTCCTGGAATGGTTCAGCTCCAGTAATTAACCATAGTACTGAGCTTTAGTGTGCTTAGTACAAAATACACATGTTCAGTTATTGAATACAGTAGTGTGTATCATTTGAAAAGTAGAGCAGATGTTATGGAAATAATATCCTGCTACCAAGAATTCCTTTGTGACCAAAAAAAGTGAACAATAGGCCCTTAGTGGCCTCATCATGGAGATGTCATAAGCCCCCTCATTTAACGTGTTTAGCACACTTTCCTTTGCTCTGTGTTCTAGGAACGTATCCTGAGCATTAAGAGCGACCTTAACACTGAAATGGCAAGGGAGACTTACAACTCAAAAATAAATTACAGCCAGTACAAATGGTTTGTTTTGGTAGCTCCGCAGGTCATTAAAGCTCATTTTTTCCTCGGTAGAAGAATCCCCTTACCCACGTCAGCTGTGCTGTTGTCACCTCATTCAGAGTCTCGTTTATTCTGTCATCCTCGTGTCTCCCCCTGTGAGAAGCCATATCGCCCCCCCTCCCGTCTAATGAGTAGGCCAGATTAGGAGTGGATATTTTCATTTGCTCTTCCTCGTAAACAGCTCCCCATGCTAACCCATCTGCCTCTTGGTGGATCACTTTCACATGCATTGCTGCTCTGCCTCTAAATAGCTCTGTTTCGTTCACTTCCTCACAAAGGAGAGTCTGTAGAACGAATAAATGAACATGTATAACAAGTGAAACTGTTTGTAGGAGCCTGTGCTGCGTTTTATGGCCACTAGTGCTTTATGTAGCAGCACGTTCTGGTTGAATTGGTTGTGAATTCCCCAGGCAATGTGTGACAGGCCCATGTTCAGAGTGGGTGTGGGCCCAGCCACTAACTGCACTGCCCCCCAGGAAGAGCTGCTGGGGTGGAATGTCTCCTTGATAAGGGGGTGGGCTAAGCATATCAGCAGAGTAACTGTGATAACTACAGTGGGCCAAGTTGAATATAACCCTCTGCCATCTAAAACCCCTAAGTAGCTGGATTCAGGATGTTATATATTAATAAATTTTGTCTTTTTGTCTGTAATACAAGTAGGTTGTTCCCAGAAGCTGAAATGCAGTCGGTTACACGCGTGTGGCGGTGTTTGTATGGCCGTGTGATGCATGGATATCCCCCCCACCATGCTTCTCCTCATGAACATACTCATTCTGTCACTTTGTTCAGGGTTTAATTCTATGTGATGAGACTCCAGGCCTCTGCTGACCTTGTTATAGATCAGGCAGGTTCAGCTTGGATAGAAAGCCGGCTCTCATAGCCCTGCCCTGCTGGTTTCTGTGTGCTTATCCCTCTCCAGTCCTGGCTTGAAGGTAAAGGTCCACAACCCTGCTGTACCAGCAGTCAGTTTGATTTAGTGAGAGCTGCAGGCTGCTTTTGCCTCATTTGGATTCAGTGCAGCAGGGCTGGAAGACGACAGTGGAAAGGTTGTGACATTTGGCTGCATTAGCGGGGGGGAAGGGGGGGATTTACACTGATCAAGTGGATGAGTACATTTGGAATATATTACATCACTACTGTGCTAAAATGTCTCTGTGCTTGGATAAGCCTGTGTAAATGATATGCCTTCACTCCCATGAAAGTGCATTAGAAAAGGCAAAGATTAATGATAATGCATGCATGTTTAGCATTGGAGAAAAGATTATAGCTTTTCTGTTAATAGACTGGCATCAGTCAGGTGGACCATCAAACCCTAAGTTCTTTGCATTCATATACAGCTGGGTTTTAAGGCATTGGGGCAATTTGTTGCCCATAACTCCTGTTCTAATACCTTTGCTGTCACTTCTCTCTCCTCCCAGACTGTGTGTATATAGAGAGCCGAAGGCCCAACGTTCCCTACTTCATCTGTAGCATTCAGGACTTCAAGCTGGTGAGTGTTTCCTTCTGCCTGCCCGTATCCCACAGCCCCTGCGTGGGCAGGATGCTGTCGCTCTCGCTGCAGCCTCAGCCCCAGCCCCCACCGCTCCTGCTGCTCGTCTGTGTTGTTAAAAGGGGGATCAAACAGCCTTTCATGTGTGATAATTGACCACATTTGTGTGCGACTTGCAAAAAAACCGCTTGGGAGAAACAAATCGCACACCTCCGAACCTAACAGCTTGCCTAAATAAACCTGTTTGTCAGGCATCACTTTGTCAGGAGTGACCTTCATGTAATACCAGAATCACTAGGTATCCTAAATAAAATCTGACAAATTTAAAATGGACCAAATCAATCAGATTTCTTTAGGTACTAAGCACAACCCCCTCAGGCTGGCTAATGGTCTTCAAAGCACAAATCATTTTCCCATCGCAGATTCTGATGCCACTGACAACTACCCGCCCATGATCCATGAAACGACTAGATTTCTTCTGTTAAAATTTTGATTTTACAAACGAGCACAGTGGGGAAAATTACCCAGCAAATGTGTAGAACACCTGGATCATTTCTGTTTCCACAACATACATGTATGATTGAAGAAATAATGTGTAAATATATAATGCTCACAAAAGGCAATCAAGATTTTTAAAGGGATGAAAAATGCTGGATATCAGAAGGGGACTGAACAGAGACAGTGAGGGGTCACAGTAGTTTATAACACTGACAGAGTAATGTCTGTGTGTATGTGTGTAAGACACAGTAACCCACTAAAAATGAGTGTCAGATTTCAGTCATGAATAAATAAAGAGCTGAGAATATAACATTGACCCAAATGAGAGGGTAATGCATGTCATTACCATGAGGAACGGCCCTGCAGATTAGAACGCCTGGCACAGGCCGATTGCTGTGAAGAATGACCTGTGCGTGTGCGTGTTTACACGCGCATGCACGCACGCACGCACGCTTGTTCCTTTGCCTTGCTAAGTGTTTTGAGCAGGCTGGTTAGAGCAGCTTGTAACAGTTGATTCACTACGGCAGGTTGACCTGCTGACTCAGTGGTGCTGGGGCACATTGTGCTTGTTGAAGTATGAGGAATATTGCCAAATTCCAGTCTCCAGCTGGCTTCTAACCTACGAACTTCTCACACCATTTTAATTAGGACTCGTGCCTTTCCACACAGCAGAGGAGGCTCTTGAGTTGATTTTTCTCCCACCCC